AGTTTTGAGAAGGGAAACGGTGAAGTTACTACCACGGATGTGACTGTTACCGATGATGGGACATTTACTGATGAAGCGGATGAACCCCACATGAAGCAGAAGCCAACAAGACGGTGACCAGTACGGAAGAAGATACGTCCCGTAAAATTAAGAGACTTTGTTGAATTGTAATTTTGTCTTTGTAATTCTGTACAGTTAATTAAGTTATTGTTAATTGTTATTGGTTTATTGTATGTGGTTATTTTTCGGGACGAACAATATTAAGGAGGGGGCAGAGTTGCATCATCAAGATCACGTGACTATTCTCAAGCCCTCTAGTTTCTAGAACTATCTTGTTCCTTCATGAATGCCCTAGCATTTACTAGATAGGGTAGTCTAGTATATATATAAGAGGGTGACAACGTGACGCAAGAATGTAATGTGTGTGTAGGTAATGAGTAATTGAACTGCAGTCAGAGAGAGACGTATTGTTGAAGTTAACGTTCGTTTATATAGCGTTTGTTTTAGCGTGATTGTTGAAATCAAGTGTATCGTAAAGTTATATTCGGAAAGAATAAACCAGTTTTATTAAGTAAATACTTGTGTCGCTAAAGTTTCGTCGGAACGAAGTTACGGGAAGTTAATTAACAAACAGAGACGTAACATTACTGTAGATTGATGGGTCTAATTAATTTGTTTTGCTTATGATCCTATGTATCCTTCAATAATCTGTGATGTTGTTTCAAAGTGAACAGTCATGTAGAAAAATATATTAGGGGCATTAATCTTTGTTACAGGATAATACCTAGATTAGTGGGTCTAATTAATTAATTGTGTTAATGATTTAATTTCTCCTTCAAGAGTTTATGGTATTGTGTAGGTAGGTACTTAGTATTCTACCAAAAGCTTAATGACTACTTTTTAGATCAGTATTTAGTAAGTTAGATCAATGATATTACTGTACTAAGATTTCATATTGACTTTTTTCTATAGGTCATTACCTGTATCCTGGAAAAGGAGAATGGAACAAAGTGGATATCATAGCCCAACTTCATTCCAAAGTATATGTCGTATCTGGCCCTCATTGCAAATTGACATTTTGGTACCATATGTGGGGAAAACATATGGGAAGCCTTTCTGTTATACTAAAGAATACTCAGTTAAATACAAAGGTATCTATGCTTTTTTTACAGACGAAAAGCCATTACAGGTTGGATTTTTTTAGCATAGTCTCTTTCCTTTTAATTTATCATAACAATGAGTTTAGAATTCAGGGATGAGTGATTTCATATCTTGTGTGATAAATGAATTATAGCTTAAGAAGAAGTTCCTCCATATTTCATTAGGGAAAGTTTTAGATCCTTGATGAGAATAACTTCTCTGTTCTTAGTTTCTGCTCGCTACATGCTTGCATGTCCATGAACAGAAGTTTTGATCCAGTTTTATGTAATGGCTTCTGAATTATTTCTTCAGCTTGCAGTGAGGCAAGAGTTAAGGGTAAAGGAAGGTATTCTCATCAAGGACCTGAAACCTTTCCACAACAAAATGGAAAATGTATTAGACCTGCATTGCCTTGTACTTTATTTTGAAAAAATAGGTAAAAATCAGACTATTTTATTAATTCTTGTCAAACGTTTATGCTTTTATCAAATGTAGAAATCGATGAAAATAATAAAAAGGTAAGTAAATATGAGCCTAGGCAAACATTATTGTGACAGTAACAGTCTGTGTTGTTTTATTGAGGTCTTTAGATATTTAAAAAGTGATTTTTATGAATAGTATTACTAACACTAGTACTTGTTTTTCTTTGAATGTAGTCACATTTTATTTTTTCATAGTTGCTTATATTTTAAAGTAGTAGTAAATTTATTTATTTTTCTTGAAACACTGATGATCATCATGTAACACAATTAATGTGCTACACTGATTATTACTTAGTATTTGAAAAAATGTATTATGCCATTGATAATATAAATTTAATTGACTTATTAGAATATACTAAAATCCTATGTTTATATTATTCTTTTAAAAAAATTGGACTTAACCAACATTGTAAGAGCCCTGGGGCCAAGTTGACACCAAATTAGCAAACTGATTCAAACACTGATGAATCAGACAAATATTTATTAATTAATAGGTTAATAGGCTGAAGTGTGGCAGTTTACTTGATAAGCTAAGTAGTAATTTAAAAAATATGTATAGTTTTGAAATTTCAACCACAGAGGGTATGAATAAGTGCTACATAAAGAGGTATAAAGTGAGAGTAACAGATTATTAAACATAACTAAATAAAGTGAAATATTCAAATTTGATGACTCATAAGTTTGGCTGGGGTATATTAATATGTATATTGTCATCATAAGAATTCTCGGAAAAATAAGAGCACCCAATAATTAATAATGGCTGGAGATGGCTTGAATGGGTAATGAAGAAAAACTTTAATATAAGTTTAACATAACAGCAAATGTACAACGTTTCGACAAGTACCTGATGATGACAAAACCTTGTCGAAATGTTGTACATTTGCTGTTATGTTAAACTTATATTAAAGTTTTTCTTCATTACCCATTCAAGCCGTCTCCAGCCATTAAAAGTGAAATATTGCTTTAAAGATTTAGCTAAAAGTTCATGTACCCTGCATAATCCTATATCTTTTATATATTTGCATTTATCTATATAATATTTACCTTTTTCCTCCATAGTTGATATAGAGTGATCTAATTATACAGATTGAGAAGGTTACTGAATTTTTGATTTAACATGTAATAATGGAGAAGACAGTGTGGAATAGTAAATTGTGTTAGAAGTATCACATCTAAAATTATTATAGCTTATAGATTAAATTTTTGACTTGTGATGCAGAATATAGTTGTTTATAATGTAAGTAGTGGAACATAAGCTGCAATTTGTAATAGATATCCCGTAGAATCTTTGTAATTTTCTTGATTTAACCTCTAAAAATGAAGAAGACAGTGTGGAATAGTACATTGTGTTAGAAGTATCAGATCTAAAATTATTACAGCTTATAGATTAAAGTTTTGATTTGTTGTACAGAATAAAGTTGTTTGGAATGTAAGTAGTGGAACATAACCTGCAATTTGTAATAGATATCATATAGAATCTTTGTAATTATCTTGGAAATAATTAAACAGTGAGTTACTGAATCTGAAGTTTTTAAAATTATATAAGATAAATTTTAATTTTCTATTGTAAAAAAAAAAAGTTTGATAAGTTGTTGAAACATAAGTTGAGTAATTTAAAATTTTCAGGCCCAAACCGTATGGACACAAGCAGGAGATCAAGGAAATGCATGGCATCAAGCTTCGATAGAAATAAACTACCGTCGTCAGTTTAGTCTCATGTTTGAGGCTAAGCATGGCAGTGGTTTTATGACAAATATGGCAATTGATGACATTAAATATTTAAACTGTAACCCAGGTAAGGCAAAAAAAAAGTTTACTTCGTAACCCATATAGGTTAAATATAACTTTACTCTTTTTAATATTGAAAAATCATAAAAGGATTTTGGCTCAATAATGAGAAATTGTATAATATCAACATTGTATCGTCTAAAAGCTCACATCTTGTCAGCACTCTTTCGAATGCTGTATAAAACCCCTTATCATCCAGTTAGCTTGAATGTCTAAATTCTCAAACATTATCTTTATATTATTTAAAATATACATCTCTTTAATGTTCAGTTGTTTACATACAAATTAAATTTGATGTATTGTTATAATGCATTGTAACTGAAAAGTCAATATTACAAAAGTATTCTATAAAGGAAAAAAAAATGTTAAAATATTTTAAACTCAAGGGACTCAAATGTAGAAAGCCCAATTTGTAAAGAAGCTAAAAAAGTGTCATATGAGAAATGTGTAATTAATGTTTTTGTGCAAAAACATGGTTTGGTAGAAAACTTCATGTAAAGAGTAGCACTTGAAATGGAATAACAAATTAATAAGACAAAAGTGAAAGGTAAAAACTAGAGGCTCCAAAATGTGCTAAAGAAAAATGTTCTTTGCAGACATGTGTTTGATTATCATATTACCTTTATTCATTTATTGAGGTTAATTTTGAAAATATAAAGGGCTGTTTGGTGTCTTGTGATATGCCTAACTGTAAAGAAACTACACCACTTTCTTTGAATATATTTTTCATTGTTATTAATTTGGATTTATAACATGCACAGTTAACTCCATCATATGTAATATGTGTACAATATTTAATGCTTTTGTGAAATAGTTCAAGATCACTATCAATACACATGGCTGGATGCTTTTTAAGAAACCATATTGTAAGTGTCTGATGGAAATTCCAGTTGTATAATAATTGCATTATTTTTTTCAATACTCTTTTATATTTCAATGCTCTTTTGAAATGGATTTAAGCAGCTTGTTCAACTGTGGACTAAGTTTTCTATGTAGTTTTCTAGTCATTTTTCTTCAAGACATCTGGAGATCAAGGAAATGGCAGGAAAAGTCCATAGAAAATGTAGTCTGTATATTTCACTGTTCTTCTAAAACATTAAGCTTGAATTATTTTTGCTCTTTAAAAATATGGGTGAGTAATGATAACATACATTCCTATTAGAGTAAATAATTTTTAATTTGTAAAAGATGTTTTATTGACATCTTACTAAAGCACTTTGTTTTTTAAACCTTCAGTTTTTCCGTGTAATTTTTTTAATTAATTAAATTTTTGTTTATTTTGTCCCCATGGTATACTTTACTTTTTCTGCCATTTTCTAAGAATGATGTGATTCAACTGAGTTAATAAAAGATAGAGGTTTTCTGTTTTACACTGACTGAAAATATTCAGTGAAAGAAAGTTCATAAAAGGTTTTTATTTGGTTTGTTTTGTGTGGGATGTAAGAGTTATTTTTGTTAGTTACAAATCTAGTTTATTCTTTGTAGATTCCCCACCTTTAACATGTATTACTGGAGAGTGGCAGTGTAGTGACATTGCACAGTGCATCAAGATATGGGAATACTGTGATGGCAAATATGACTGCAAGGACAAATCAGATGAATACAAATGTAGTAAGTTTTTTAATAAACCTAAAATAAATGAGAAAATGTATATGAACTACACTGTACACCAAATTACTGATGCAAGATTGTGCAACTTACAGATGGTTTTCTCTCAAAACTGTTTACAAACATTTGTAATTTTAGCTATATTCTTTTCAGGTAAGATTAATGTTTCATCATTGTTTTTCTATGATGTCCATTTTTCAAATTTTCCAATATTTTTGCCATTTTAGGAGATCCTGTTGAAGACATTTGTAATACGTCTTTTGTTAGTTATGAATAACAATAATATTTGGGAAATGGAATTAATTTAACCTTTCCAATGCAAATCTAAATTTTCTTACAAAATCAGAAATAATAGCTTTACTTTAATGTTAGTTTTAGGATTTTTATAATATTGCCTGTGTATTAAATTCTGACAATGTACAGAAACTGAAATTGAAGTTAGAAGTTTTGCTTGATTCCTATATACTGCAGAGAAACTTTCATGCTTTAATTTTGAAGCTTTGTGAATAACACTCCTTAAATCATGATGTGTGCTAAGCATAATTAATAGCACATGCAAAATCTGTTCCACGACTGCTGGTTTTGTATTTATACTTGTTTACTCTTAATTCTACTTAAAAAATTAGTTAAGTGTGAACTCAGAAAGGCATGTTAGAACAGTTACCAATGATTTTGTTTTGATCAATTTGGATATGATGCCCATGATATATTTTCTAAAATTCTCTGAAATTA